CAAGCATGGAAGAGTTTGCAGGTTTTTTGTCGCAAAGACTTCAATCAGCTCACCCGACAAGGTTGTCATTGTTACCTTCCAACGAGGTTTAGTGAAAGGCAGCCGTTCCAGGCTGTGTTTTGGCAGGAGGACTGGACTCTTGGCTATCTTCTTGGAGCCAAATTTGGCTAGCCAAGAAGGGACTCTTTGCTGCTTTGCCTCAGGCAGCAAAGTATCTTGAAAGACACGCACCCAATTGTTCCACAAAATATTTTCACTGATCGTCAGTTGCTTTCTTATGTATGATTAACTGTTCTCTTTTAATAAAGTTTCCTTGACTCCACAGATTTTCCCCAACCCACCAACCATTTGGTGTTTTCTTGGCTTACTAAACTGTTGAAATGCTTTTTTACTTCGTGACTGGGAGGAGGAGTTTGAGCTAAAATATGGTGTGAACAGGGGCATTTTTGCCCTCTTCGTTATTGCCTTTTTAGGCTGCCCCATCCCACATTGGAGTGCAGCCCCCAAGAAATGAGATACGTCCCACAGGTTGAAAGAGCTTCCCCACTCCTGGTTTAAACCCATGGAACCTGTGCCCCTCAAAATGAAAAAAAAATCTATATATTTCTCAAATCAAGTTATGTCAAGAGGAACCACAAAGGATTTAGAAGCCAGGTTTGTTTTTCTGCTTTCCCTGCCCCTCCTTCGTTATCGTTTTCTTCGTGACAGTTGTGCTGGGATGCAGAACCGCAGCCCCACAGACCATCTGGCCCAGTCCGATGCGGCCCCCCGAGTCCCTCAGAGGCCCACATCTCCCCCCTGCTGCAGCGCCCCCACTTTCTTCCGACAGCTTGAAATGCTTCTCCTAAAGTGCAGCTGCAGACAGTGAAAGGTAGAACACGCTGTTTTATCTGACTTGCCTCTGCCCTGGAAAGCAGCCCGAGAGCATCTCTGAAATTTAGCCTTTGGGCTAAAAGTGCTTCTCCAGATCCAGTTGGAAGGGTCCCCAAAGGTCATCCATTCCAACCTCCGCGGATGCAGGAATTCCACTGCTACAACACCCCCAGGACTGCAGGGGTCTCTCTTCCAGGACCATTTGCCCTCCAGTGGAAATTGCGTGCACTTCCCCTTGCATCCCGATTTGGACTGGGATAGCAGCAAGGGTGAGGCGGGGTTGAAACTTTCCTATCCCACCCTGCCCCTGCTGCCATCCCAGTCCACAGCTGCAGAGCCCTGCCCTCCCATGCTGGCTGCACAGTGCGATGAAGCCACACCGAAGGGGGCCCAGCTCAGGAGAGGCTCCGGGGGCCAGATGCCAAAGGCCGCTGCGGGGCCAGCGTTCCCCATCTCCGATGCTCAACTCAGCTCATTCTCCTGGGGCTGGTCCTTAAAAAAATGGAAGATGCTTAAGTTCACCCCATTGCAAGGCGACCAGCCTGAGTTGCCCAGCTTTGCAGGGTTTGGTGGTACTGGTGCGAGTCGGTGTGAAGACTGGGGGAGGACCTGAAATGGGGGGAGGGGGGGTGCTCTTGATCCAGCAGTCAAGCTGCAATTTCAGTTGTGAATGACGTTGTATAATTGGATAATTGTTTTATATCCCCTCTCAGTTCATTAATTTATCACTTATTTATTTTATATATTTATTTTGCTTAGTATCAGTTGTTTTATTACTATTAATTTTATTGCTACTACTGTTTTATTGCACTGTTGACTTTTACTCTTTTGATTGCATGTAAGCTGCCTGGAGTGCCTATAGCTAATTGGGTGGCATATAAATCAAATAAACAAGTCTGGAGTCTTCTGAAGACAGACGTTCATAATCCAGGCCGATGGGGAGATAGAAATGGCCACCATTCAGGACTGAAGGCACCCTCAGCTGAGAATACTAAGGAAGCGAATCAGGAGCCACGTGGCACTGATCCTGGCCACCTGCTTCCTCGGATTTTTGCTGCCGCCAAAGAACCAACTGGAGCTATGCAATGCCGGGTCGGCTGCAGAGGGCCCGTGGGCAAGAGCCCCTCCGGGACCTCCTCCTTCAGCGAGCGAACCTTCCTAGCACCACGGCCCCAGCTGCTCCCACTCCTCCTCTTCCTCGCGGGCACCCTTCCCTTGTTTGATGAGTGTGGTGCTAGCAGGCATGGCAGCCATGACATCCCCACTGCTCCTTTGCACCACCACCAGTCTGGACCCACTGTGAGGAGTGGGTGAAGCAGCAAGTGCACGGGGGACTTGTTGGGGGGCATGCCCCTGGGCAAGTGCCCGATCATGCTTACCCTTCTCACTGAGCCACCTGCAGCAGTCCCCAAGGCCCAAGGACGGCTGACTCTGAAGAGCCTGGCAAGAGCCTTCCACACGCCCAGACACGCCCCTCTTCCTCCTCCCGGCGGCCGATTCTTTCTCCCACACGGACCACCATGCCCAAGCCAAGCCAAGCAAGCTAACACTGCACCCCGATTTGGTCAACAGCAGAATCAAAGGCCACATGGGAAGATATTTGCCAGTAAGGCAAAGCGTGGCAACACCCATCTTCAGGTTTCCTTGCTTGCGAAAGAGAAGTCAATAAAGTGTTTTATCAAGCATTTAACCATCTACAGAATGGAATTTGGCCCTCCCTGTTGAAGAAATCCAACTCCCCCGATGAACAAATATACAATTGAGGTGGAGGTGGAAGGCAGCTGAGAAGCAAAAGCTGAGCTAACAACCCACAATTCGCAAGCCAACAACAAACCATGGCTTCTCTTCATGGATTGTTTGTGGTCAACGTAGCCGGGTTTGGCCCACACGCAGAACAAATCAATCCCGTGTTGAGCCGAGAGGTCAACTTCCGTTCCTTTGGGGAAGGGGCCACCCAACTCCTGCTCCCTACCCTCAGCAGCCGATGAGGAGGCCACGTTGGGGCTTCCTGTAATCATGTGCAAAGTGCCCTCAATGCTCCAGGCATGACCCAAGACAAATATCTGGCAACTATCTTCCCACGTGGCCTTTGATTCTGCTATTGACCAAATCAGGGTGCAGCCCACGCTTAACCAGCCATGGGGCTCCAGACACGCAGCGTCTCCGCTCAGGACAGGGCAGTTCCAGACAGAAACAAGTGGCTCAGAACGTATTTTCCTCGTGCGTGCCCCGTCAATCTTCCCCCGCGGTGTTCCAGTGCTGATGTGGGCATGTCACAGAGAGGAGCAGCAGACCGGGAGGCCAAATGGCACTTGCCCACGATGGGCAACAGGCCCAGCTCCTTTGGCCCTCGTTCTACCGTCCGCAAGAGAACATCTCCCCAAGTAGAAAATGGATCACGCACAGTGGTTCTGTAGCAGCAGAGAGGGAGGTGAATGGACCGGCGAGGCCTACCGCCTCCTTCGCACCAGAGGAGAGCAGTGTGCTCCAGCCTGGTGTCTCAAGCGCAGTTTAAGGTTCTGTGCAACCGGACCGCAGGAAAGGCAAACCGTGGTTATGAAAGGGCCCACTTGGGACAACACGCTAAACCGTGGGCCCCCAGTGCGTTTGGGTACTGGACACATTTGGAATTTTTTGAATGGGTGCTCTGGGCTCTCTCACAATTTTGCTGCCATGGGGGGCTTTGCCCACACACACGAATGGTTAACACAGTGGACACGGCCAGCCACAGAAACGCTCCTTGGCCAGAAGGCAAACTGGTGAGATGAAAGTAAAACCAACCTAGCGAAAACCGAAGTGCAAAAGCAGAGAGGGGACTGGGTCCACAAACGCACGCGTTGGACCTAAACCAAGAGATGGCAGGACTTTGCGCTGCGGAATGCCAGCTGCTCAGTTAAAGAAAACCCCCACAAAAAGCAGGTTTTTAATTAAAAATAACATCTTAAGAAATAAAATAAAAATCAAGGCAGGGAGGGAGGTTGGCAGGAACCAGAGAGGTCTGCGTGTGCATCCTCTTAGAGACCCAGTACTAAAGCACGATGTAGCCCTGTGTGAATGCACTTCAGGATCTCATGTTGCCCCCACCACCCCGTTTTCTTCCTCCGGTGCTGCCATGAGGAAACCAGAAGCATCTCTTTCTACTTAGGAACAAACCAGGGTTTCTTGTTTTGTCCAACTGGAGCAACCCTGGCTTGCTTCCACTATGGCTGGTAAACTATGGTTTGATCCTTCCCAGTTTCAACAAACCAGAGTTATGCCCAAATCACTCTGATCCCCAGCTATTCCTGACCAAACAATGAACACTGACTAGCTTAAAAGCAGCAGCAGACACTTCCAAAGTTTTCCTTGTGGCTGAACCAGGGGTGCCAATCTTCTCCGCTCCTTCTTGTAGCATTCTACCATGGTTTAGCAGTACGTGCCACACAGGCCCTGTGGGCTGGTGCCATTCTGGCCCTTCAAGAAGCAAACATTTATCTTCCAGGCAATATTTTCATTCCTGTTTCTCCCTGTACTTTATCTCAACTTGTTCCCGGCGGACCTTTCCCCCGCTAGCTGAGCCAGGACAGCATGTTAGCAATTTCGAACCATTTACTGAGCAGGATAAGATCTTGTGGACACTCGGCTGGAAACAAGGAGAAAAGTCACCATTGTTAAAGCAACACCAGTGCTGCCTCTGGTAACTTCCACAATAGCCATGAGCAAGTTCTTGTCATAATATTCCAAGAGCAAGAAATGCCATTTATCTTCAGGGGAGATGGGGGAAGATTATTTTCATACTTTCAAAGTATTCGTCGTTGGGAGTGGAGCTGGAGTGGTCCCCGGAGAGAAAATGTCACGTTTACTGATGAGTGTAAAACTGTTCCAGCCAGCTAGTCTTGCCCATCGCTTCTGTGTCCTACGCATCTCACTAAGGACTATTTCACAGAGGATGCAAAAGCACGCATGGGATACGTACCGTGCCTGAAATCCTGCGCTGTCCTATTTTGGGGCATGAAGCGTCAAGGGCTCCGGGTGTGCCCAGCTCTGGAGTGAGGCCTCAGCTGTCGAGAGTCCAAGTTGTGCTCATCATGTGCCAATGAGCGACCAACTTACCCACAATATTTCAAACAAAAACAAGAAACCAATCATGCATGTACTTGTGTATTTTGGAAATAAACGAACAATATCACTTGTTTTTTCTCACTGAATTCAGACTGTGCGATTGAAATATTGAGCTTTGGGGAAGAAAGAGCTGCCATATTAACATGATTAATATGATGATGTTGTATTTATATCCTACCTTTTTTCTCCTGCAAGGAACCGAGGCTGGCCCTCCATCTTATCCTCACAACACCACCCTGTGAGGTGGGTTGGGCTGAGAGTGAAGGACTGGCCCAAAGTCACCCAGTTGGCTCCATGGCTGGGTGGGGACCAGAACCTGGACCTCCCAGGACCCCAGTCCAATGCTCTAACCACTGAGCCACACTGGCTCCTCATTTCTTTCATCACATAAGGAGTATCATTGGCATGCCACCAACTAGAGGAGAAGATGGCCTGCATTTAAAAGCAAAACATCAACATTTCCATCATGAAATCAGGAACGATTTCTTCACATTTCCATGCAGGGCACCTTTGCTTTGAGTGCAAATTTAAGGGAATTGCTTCAGCATCATTTATTCTACCCTTAAGCGCCTGAGAATTATTTCGGGGAAGAACCTCTGAAATGCTCAAGCACGGAAAACTCTAAATTGTTAAGGCTGCCCATATTTGCAAACCCCTTCGTAACAAGCAAACTATGAATGGCTGATGAAAGGAAATGTTCTCAGGCCAGCTCCGAGGGGTGGGCAATGGCCTTCCTGGCAGGCAATTATTGGAGTTGTAGTCCGTCTTCCATCACTGGAGTTGTAGTCGTGTGGAGCACCAGATTAAAAAAAACAGCTCTGAAAAGGACACTGGAGCTGGCATTTCTTGTGACTTTGTGGGTTGATTCGTTTACGTATTATATCTCACTTTTTTCCTGCAAGAAGCCCAAGTTGGCTTATGTAATCCTGCTCCCTACTTTATCCTCACAACAGCCCTGTGAGGCAGGACTTGCTCATGGTCTTGAATTTGTATTCACTCACAGAGTCAATGGGGTTTGGGATTCGTCCTCCATAATACGAGCATTTCCACGGAAAGCATCATCACTGGACAGCACCGCCGATTAGGAAGCAAGCCGCACTCCCCGCAACAGGATTCATTCCCAGAGAATTGCAATCCAACAGTTCTTACCTGGAAATAAGCCACATTAAACTCAGTGGGATTTCTGAGCAGCCCCATCTTGGCTGCATCTTCTACATGGTCTGTACAGCACTGCGTTGCAGAACACATCCTGTGACCAGACATAAAATATACAACATACACTATGCACTATCGCAGGCCCAAAACCTTTTGCAAGAGACAATCGGGGCTGTTTATTTTCTTCTTTACACTGTCTCGGACTGGTCCTCTGATTTCTGTTTGGTCAGTTCTTTAAATCCCAGCTTTTCCAGGGGCTCTTTGGCCATAAGTTGCCTGAAGAGGGAAATGATGGACAGAAACTATTAGAGCTTAATGTAACTTGCTTAAGCAGTGGCATCTTCCAAGGCTAACAATTTCGTGTCCCTAAACAAAGCCTTTAGAACAATACAACACAGCTTAAAAAAAAAGACACAGGAGAAATGTTTCTCCATTTCTATACCACACAAGAGCTGAAGTTCTCTGAGGGCTACACACAGCCATGATTCTGCAGGCATGCACTGAAGAACCCAAGCGTGATCGCGGAAAAAAATCAATTTTCTAGTCCAAATGGAGTCATTTATTTATATCCCGCTTTTTCCCTTTTGTGAGAAACCCAGGATAGCTCACCTAAACCTCCTCTTCCTCTCTATTTAATCCTCACAACAACCTTGCAAAGTAGGTTAGGCCAACAGTCAGCAACTGGTCCAGAGTCTCCCAGTAAGCTTCATGATCAACAAGGGACTAGAACCCAGAGTTCCCAAGTCCCATGAAGCACTAACCACTATTCCAGACTTTAAATAGCCTGGAAAGCATAGGAGTGCTCCACCACATTTATATCCGCCCATTCCACAAAAATCATCTGTGTGGCAAGGATTCTGCAGGATTGCACAAAGCTCCCAGGACTATGCGTGTTCTCCAGCCCTGGGTCAGAATCTGCTCCAGTTCAGACAGCCATGTCAGCAATGGCTCCAAGTTCCATGCACATTCAAAGTATGAACATCTGCCAAGACCAAGCTGCCTTTCAAAGTAGGGGTGCATAACCTACAGGCCGTGGCCCTCAGAGCAGAGGGAACTCAACCTGGAATGTCCCTGTTAGCCAAGTGTCAGCAAAGAAAAGCCTGGGATTTCATAAAATCACAACAGTAGAGCTGGAAGGGGCCATGAAGGCCATCTAGTCCAGCCCCCTGCTGTTGCAGGACACCATGTTACACCATCCCACTCAGGTGGCTGCCCAGTCTCTCCTTGAATGCCTCCAGTGCGGGAGAGCCCCCCACCTCTCCAGGCAGCTGGTTCCATTGCTGTATTGCTCTGACAGTGAGGAAGCTCTTCCCGAAGTCCAGCCTGAATCTGGGTTGCTGCAACTTGACTTGATTATTCCATGTCCTACACTCTGCCATCAGCAAGAGGTGATCTTGCCCTTCCTCTTTGTGACAGCCTTTGAGATACTTATAGAAGGATACTTATAGGTACTTATAGAGAGATGTTTCTTAGGACTAGCAAGAGAGAACTCTTCCCTAACTCCTGGTGCTCTTCTCACACGTGTTCCTCAGAAAATAGGGGCAAGAGAACTCTCCCCTTGGTAACGTTCACATCAGCCTCACGGAGCATGGGACGTCCCTTGCTGGTGCTTAGCACCAAGAAAGGAAATCCTCTGTCTTGTCTGCGAAGTTTCCTTATTTCTAATCTATTTCGAATACCTGATGCGGCCCTTGAAGGCCAAATTCTTTTTTAAAAGAAAGGCCAAAAGTGGGGCTTTGAGTAAGGACAGAGATTCCATCCCACCATGATTTTACAGATTAAAAAGAATAAAGCCTTCAGGACCAAAGACCACCTGGCATAAGCCGGTATAAGAACTACAGCAAATATCCATCAGCACGGCCGCAGAGCTTTGTGAGAAAGAATGCACTCACCTCTCCATTCTGCATTCTAAGTATTCTTTTGATTCCTGTCTGCACAAAGTATTCTCAAAGTTATTCGCCTGCAGACACTTCATGAATTTTTCTTTGAAAGCCGTACATTCACCTGAAGCAGAACGAAGGCATGTTTTTGAAAGCAAAGAAAGAAGACAGACATGGAATTAACAGTGAAACAAAGCAAGGGCTCCTTCCAGGGGCCGGGAGCTGCAGCTCCCGATAAAGGAGCAAGAAGGGAGCAAAGGAGTGTTTCAGTCTTCCAGCATGGTCCATAGCAAACTCTGAATTTGCCACACTTCACCAGAAAAGCACCCAGGAGGGGAAAATGCAGAATTGGCCTGCGCTAGCAAATATCACTTTGTTGAACTTGGGTCTCAGCAGTGCTTGGAAGTGGCTTTTGAAAGAAAACATCCCCTCTATTGGGGCTCACTGGCCCATTTCTAAGTTGGGTCTGGTACATCTTCACACTGCCACTGGCTACTGTTTGGCTATGGATTTCATTATCCAATAGTCTGAAACTTTCAAACCACACTTTAGCATTTTGCATTGTGCAGTTGTAATTGTTGTGAACTGCACAGCTTTCCTCATCAATTCATTGTTACAAACTTTTTTCCTTTTTTTTTTAAATTATCAATATCCCACCCATCCAGGAGTTCAACATAATCCAAACTGTTGGCCCACCTCCCAGTTTTATCTGCACACCAACCCTGTGAGGTGGGCTAGCTGAGATGAGCAACTAGCCCAAAGCCACCCTGTAAGCTTCATAGCTGAATGGGGATATGACCCCAAACCTTGTGTTGCCCATCCCCGCTCTAACCACTACATCACACCATCTTTCCTGCCTTTATGTCTCATTGCCTTGGTAGAAATTCCCTGAACGGTTCTTCTCTCCCGTAGAATACCTGCCTGGAGCCCATGCGGGCCATGAGCATCCTCAGGTGCCCCCATCAGAGAAGAAGAGGCAGGTTTGCCACATTCTCTTCCCCACCCCCCTTCTTTTGGCTGTTTTCTTATGTTTTAGCTGTTTTAACCTTTTAAATATTTTTTCTGATTTTCTGATATTTGCATTGTACTCGTGTGAACGGCCCAAAGCTTCGACTGTGGTGCGGCATAGAAATGAAATAAATAAATAAAGAGAGCAACTCTAACTCAAACAACCGGAATTTCTGCTAAAAATGAGAAACTAATACTCTCTATGAGCGAAGGCGGGTGTTGGTCTATTCTCCCCACTCTACGGTGTCCCCCTTAGCACTGGAGCACCTCAACTTTGAGCCGGAAGTGTCCACCCTTTCTTTTTTCTTAGCTCTATAGGATCGGGTGAGGGACTGCGCGTGCGCACTTGAGGCGAAGCGCGGCCCTTCAAGGGAGGAGGGGGAAACGCTGCGGGCGCGTCCCAGTTAAGGGGAGAAGGGCGAAGCGCGGCCCTCACCGAAGTGGTCCAGCGGGAAGGCGCCTTTGTCCGGCGGCCTCGGCTTGAAGCTCTTGCTCCCGAAGTGCATGGCCGTAGACATGGCGGCGGCTCCGCGGCGGCGGCCCTGGCCAGACTCGCCTCGCTTCCGGGATCCGGCGGCAAAATGGGCTGCCGCGCAGAGTGCCGAGCCAGGCCAGAGCAGACGAGAGCGGAGTGAGTCGAGCGAGCCGCGCCCCGCCCCGTCTTGGCCCCGGCGGGGAAGCGCCGCTCGCAGGAGGGGGGCCCCGCCTGGCAGAGGGCAAAGGGGGCCGCGGGGCGCCCGAGTGGCCCGCACGTCCCTGCCCTGACGGAAGTCCCGGTGGCCCTTCCAGGCGGCCACTAGCCAATCCTCCGGGCAGTTCCAGAAATAGAAGCCCAGAGCATACAATGTGATGGAACGTGATACAAAACCTTGATTTATGTTCTGCCATATTTTCCTCCTGCGAGGAACCAAAGCAGCTCTCACGATCCTCCTCCTTTCCACTCGCTCCTCACAACAACCCTGTGAGGTAGGCTAGGCAGAGGGTCAAGGAGTTACTCAAAGTCACGCAATGAACCTACGTGGGGGACTAGATCCTGGATTTGTAGGTTGGAGTTTGTCCACATTTAGCCAGAGAAAAGTCCTCAACTTCCAGTGTTCCCTAGCCAGCCATGCTGGAAGTTGTAGGGCTTTATTCTGTCCAGTGATATCTGCAATTGCACCTTTATTGTGAAAGACACTTCTGGACTATTAACAATTAGCAATTTCATTCTTGGTCCAAGGAATGTCTTCTGCTCTCAAACAGCCAATACGAACAACATGCATTTCCTATGCTGGGAAAATACACTTTTTAGATCATCGAACCCTGGTTTGGGACTTTCTGTCTGCAGCAGCCTTCCCCAAGCCTCCAGATAGTTTGGATTTCAACTCCCATCAGTCCCTGCTAGCAGGACCAACTGACCAACCAGCACCCAGGAGTGCTGGGTGTTGGAGGCCAAAACATTTGCATGGCACCAGACTAGGGAAAGGCTGGGAAGAGGAGAAAATAAATCTGCACCAGAAAGATTGTTAATTGCAGCCAAGAGACAGGAGTAGCTCATCTTGAGGCTGAAGAATCTGCTCCAACTAAGCATTTGTGTATCATATCATTATTTGCATTTAGGATCCTGGCTTGTTACTCCCTTTACAAGCCAGGATAAAAAAGCAGGGTTTGTTCTGGGGTTACAAATCCTAACTTATTGGCTGCCTTGCAGTAGCTTACTGCCAATAAACCAGGATTCTGTCTCTTATCAGATCCAAACTGAAATATTCCTGTTGCTACACCCAGAATTTTGCATCCCTTACCTAGGATTGCTATTTAGGGTGGTTTTGTTTGCATACTATAATCATATATGTTATCTTTCCAGGGTTTCTTTTGTCTGAATTTTTGTCCTGTTTTATGAAGTTTGTTACGGTGGCTGTTTTAAATTTGTTTTCTTGCTGGCTTTTTCTCACTCCTTGCTATTTTCGTATTTTTATATTGTATTCAGTTATTCTGGTAAATCACCTGAACTATACTTAAAATGATTAAATCAGTCTAAACGAACCCTCCACTAAATTCCTCCTTCAGGTAATTGGAGGAAAGCCTCAACCCTTATGGAAGCGCAATGCTGTCCACGGCCTACAGCTCTCATCTTGGCACACCAGGCATGCGGAGAGGTGCCGGACTTGTTTCCATCCAGTCATGTACAGGAATGTGCCCTGAGCTGCTTTGGTGTGGAGGGTTTTGGTGTGTTGTGCTTCCTAACCTACCCCATGGGGTTGTTGTGAAGCTAGAATCGATGCTGCTCTGAGCTGCCAGGAAGAAAGCTGAGGAGCAATTGAGATAAGCGGCTCTGTACAAGGAGAATTTTGGCAGAGGCAGCTTGCCCTGCAGGTAAAGTACTTTACTGGAAAAAGTGGGATGTGCTTTATTGGAAAGACGCTATCAGCGCCCTGGATGTGACTGTGCCCTTTGGTAATCCTGTTCCATTCCTTCCATAAGACCTGCTGGTCTCCTCCTCCCAAAACTGTAAGCAGAATTGTTCAGAGGAAGGCGAAAGTGAGTGGGGAAACCAGACTGTTCCACCAAACCTAGGGAAAAGCTACCTATTTTTTTTCCTTTGCCCTCCCCATCTTTTTTCCTCATGTCTCCTGTCTTTTTTACTGTAAGCCTTTGGGCCAGAGTTCTCTTGATTCATCCCTTGGCATGTGCTCCAGGAGCCTTTAGAGGGGTGGGATGCAAGCACTTCCAAGATATAAATTCTTGAAATAAATGCCAACGCGGGGTCCACGCTGGCTCCAGCGACTGTCACCAGCTCATGTTTAACTTCTTCCGCTCTGTCAGTTCCAGATCGACCTCTGATGGGATTCAGAGTTCGGTGATACGAAAGGGCTCGGTCCCCAGCGTTGCTCATGTCAGGGCCCGGTTGCCTCTTCCTCGTCTCGCTTTCAGCCGTGGCGGAGGGCCACATGATCACACGGCAGGGCTCGGGCGGAGGCAGTGCCACCCCCGGATCGATCCAGATTTCCCCATGGCAAAGGGAGAGTCCCTGCTCTGTGGTTTGCACTCGGCTACCAAAGTGTGAGGCCCATCAGACTCAGAAGATCTCCATCCTTGGTTGCCGAGCTCCAGTCGCGAAGGCTGCAAAGCAGCTTTGGGACTTGCCACATCCCCAGCTGGAACACGGGTCCTTCCACTCCAGTGGTGTCCGCGCGGACTGGCATCCGTGCTTCCCCACAGCACAAGCAGGATCCTGCCCCGGAACGCTGGGCATGGAACCCAGGAACATCTGCATGCCATGCAGGACCACTTGCCGTGATCCCTCCCGCCTGCACTTGCTTGAGAGTAGGACCCACTGAACACAGTGGAGCTTCCGAGGGGGAATGCGCTGAACAAGCCCAGCGAGGAATATTCCTCTCAGCATGTCCTGATAGAAGAATCCAGCTGGACAGCCAAGGCGCTGATCTGAAATAATGTTGCTAGATACCTGACGCAGAATTTCCCGAGATTGCACTTTGTTGAAGCAGGTTTCCCTATGGAGGGAATTCGTAATGGTGGTTATTGATGGGTTGCAGTGCATGCTGAACTACGGAATGCGCTCTTTAGGCTAATGCTGCATGTACTGAAGCATGCAGTGTTCTGCACTTCCCCAAGATGGTTTAGGGCCAGGCCCACACGCGTCCAACCCTGAAACATGCTGATCGTTGGTCAGCACCAGTTCTCTTGATTCCCCGTGACAGAAAAGCATCCCAGCATTTCGAAGCAGCTTCCGCAAATACCTGTTCAGCCAAAACCCCAATTCAAAGTCAACAGAATTGGCCAAAAAATGTCTGTAATGGACCTTAACGAGTGTGGAAGAAGGATGGGTGAGAGAGTTCTGTTTGGATCGTTTTATGGTAAGGACTTGAGCAACTTTCCCAAATATCTCCGCAAAAGGAGAGAAAGAACTTCTGTTTTTTGTAAACATAGGAGAAGGTGAACCTAACAAGTTCATTTCCAGCGAGGTGGTGTATGTATACGGTCTCCCAGACGTCCTGGATCCAGACCATAAAGGCTTCAAAGGTAACTTCTGTGGAAAGCTCACCTCTTTCTGCTAGTTGTCATTTTGTCACCGTTTGTGCTTCCGTTTACATCTCTGTGTTCCACTCTGGGACTTCCAACTGTAGATGGAAAAGTACGCCCAGTCCGATTATGTAACCGCCAGCTTGAAATACGAAATCTTCATTCTGCAGCTCCTGTGACCGTGATTAATTGTTTTTGTGGGTTTGTGAATAACTGGATGCTTATGAATATGACCCTCAATTTGACTTCATTAGCATTTACCCATAACATGATGTTCAATGCTTCCAAGGCAAATCCGGAACAGGAGGAAATGCACAGCTTGAAATGTCTTTCTGCAACTCGGATTAAGCATCTCAAAGCACAAACCTTTCTCTAAGAAAAGGAATGCGCTCCATTAATTGGGAACGCTTGCTCAGTCAATTAAACAGGCTCATTCCATTGCAAGCAATTAACGTTGTTGGACTGACATTTGTCGTCGGTGTAGGGGAGGGATTAGTGTGTCGGACCAGAAATGGGGGAGACCTGAAATGAAATTTTCAATCAGCCGTGAAGTTCTCAAGTTGCCTGGGTGATGTTGGGCCAGTCACGGAATCTCAGCCTCGCCTACCTCACAGGGTTGTTGGTGTGAGGACAAAGGGGAGAGGGGGAGAAACTTTGAATCAGGATTCCTTGCAAGAGGAAAAAGAGGCAGGATGTGAATATAATTTACTAATAGTAATAAAAATAATAATAATTGTGCAGTTCACAACTGACACATAGGGAAAAGACGCCACAATGCTTGGTTCAATTGCTGGCCGTTCTATCCAGTAGAATTGGTGACAATTGTGTTTGGTGGCTAGGCAATTCTAATGCCAGAGCTTGCTAAATATATTAAAGAGCTTTAATTAATTAATTAATGGGATTTATTTACCACCTCACTAGCTCAAGGGGCTCTCTGGGTGGCTGAAAACATTAAAACCCCAAATACAAAGTCTTTTTACCCAGTTAAAAAAAACAACCCTAAAACAACCTTAAGAACCTGCAAATAGCTGTAACTCCGTATAAACCCACAATGTAGTAGCAGCAGCAATTCAGTATTAAAATATAAGCATATAAAATTCCCCATTTGTCAATGACTTCTTTTGGTTTTTCCCCCCAAGGATTTATAACTAAGCCCAGACTTGTTTTTAAACTAGAATCCTAAAGCACCGAAGGAAGGAATGGCTCCATGCATAAACTACCAAGAAATCCAGTCAACAGGATTAAGTTAAATAAAAAACAGGATCTATGGGACATACAGGAGGTTTGGGTACGGTAATATAAAACACAGTTCAAACTGTTAACCAAGAGCCACTTTGAAGCTACTGTTGTGAGAATCAAATGGGAGAACCTTCTATGCTGTTCTAAACCTTTGAAGATAAAGTGTGGTGCCAGTTTGGTGAATCAAGGCAAAAGAATACGTGTCAAACTATCTGCAAGAGGAACGATGCCAAGCAAATCCTGACAGAAAAGTTCGAATTTATATAATCAGTGAGTTGCACGTTTTCTGTTCGCTATGTAAGACAAT